CAGTGTTCACCCTCACGCTGCCCCCCTCGGTGCCCGGGGGAGACGCGGGTAAAGTACTCTCAGGGCCGCCCCTCCTGTCCCTCTCCCCGGGTCGACACTCGTCCCGCCGGGCCTGGGCTCTCACGCCCCCCTCCTGCCTCCTGTGATTTCGTTACTCCTCTGGCTTCTGAGACCGGGCTTGTTGGTCTCTGCTGGGACTGACCGCACTCTCCACGTCCCCGGGGCATTTCTCTGAACTGGTTCTCAACAACCTTCTGGCCCTTTAAATACAGTTCCTCATGCTGTGACCCAACCATAAAATTATTTTCGTTGCTACTTCATAATTGTAATGTTGCTGTTATGAATCGTAATGTAAATATCTGATATGCAGGATGGTCTTAGGCGACCCCTGTGAAAGGGTCGTTCTACCGCCAAAGGGGTCGCGACCCACAGGTTGAGAACCGCTGCCCTGGACCCTTTTGCTTTCCATTCCCATTCAGTGCACACGTCTTCCCGCTGCGTGTTGTGCCCCGGCCGAGGCATTAACAACAGAGGTGACAGGTGAACGGTATCGCGGGGAGGATTCTGGTGCCGGGAGACGGGCGAGCTGCGGAATGAAGTGGCGATAAGTCAATGTGGACAGTGAGGGGGGTGTGATTACGAAGGGGTGGCTAGTAGCTCTTTTTTTTTAAAATTGTCTTTCGATTGAGTTTATTGGGGCGACATTGGTTAATAAAGTGACATAGGTTTCAGGTGTACAATGCTATAACACATCGTCTGTATATTGTACTGGTATTCACCACCCCAAGGCACGCCTCCTTCCATCACCGCTTATCACCTCTTTACCCTCTTCTGCGTCCCCTCCTCCCTGCCCCCCGACACACACACACACACACACACACACCACCCCTTTCCCTCAGTAATCACCTACGGTGGTCCTTGTCCAGGAGTTTTCGTTTGTTTGTTTAATCCAGCGGTTCTCAACCTGTGGGTCGCGACCCCTTTGGCGGTCGAACGACCCTTTCACAGGGGTCGCCTAAGACCATCCTGCATATCAGGTATTTACATTACGATTCATAACAGTAGCAACATTACAGTTATGAAGTAGCAACGAACATAATTTTATGGTTGGGTCACAACATGAGGAACTGTATTTAAAGGGCCAGAAGGTTGAGAACCACTGATTCCCTTCACCTTTTCACCCAGCCCCTCAAGTCCCCTCCCCTCCGACAGCTGTCAGCCTGTTCCTGTGAGTCTGTTTCTATTTTGTTTGTTAGTTTTATTTTGTTCATCATGTTTCACACAGGAGTGAGATCATGTGTCTCTTTCTCTGGCTTATTTCACTTAGCATAATGCTCTCCAGATCCGTCCAGGCTGTTGCAAAGGGTAGTAAGATGTCCTCCTTTTGTTTACCGCGGGGTAGTAGTATTCCATTGGGTAAATGTACTACACACAGCTTTTTCTTTTTTCTTTTTTTTTTTTTTTTAAATCTGGTGGCTCCTTCTGAATGGCCTAGTATTCCATTGGGTAAATGTACTACACACAGCTTTTGCTTTTTTCTTTCTTTCTTTTTTTTTTTTTAAATCTAGTGGCTCCTTCTGAATGGCTAGTCAGGAAAGGCCACGGAAGAGGTGGTATTTTCATGACTATTGAATAGGAACCAGCCTTGCAGAATATTTGGGGGAGAATACTTAGAATACTTAAAATAGTGGAAGTCAGGTTGCAGTTTAAAGCAAGCTACTTCTATTAAAAAGAAATCCATGACTCGTGTGCCATTTAAATCACGAGAATTCTTGTTTTGTATTTGGCCCGAGAAGAAATAAGAAATAGGTTTTGTCTTGCTGCCTACTTGAGTGACCATGCAATAATGCCCACTAATGGCCAGTAGTTTTGTCAGTGCCCGATATTCAGATAGTGAATCTGTAGTTACCTTCGCTGCATAACAAGATACTTGTTTAAAACAACGAATATTTTTAGCTCATATTTTATGTGTAGCAGGACTCTGGGTGCTCTTCCTTAGGACAAGGTCGTGGTCATGGTGTCGGCTGGGCTGCAGTCCTCCCCAGGCTCAGCTCCAGGAAGACTCGCTTCTAAGCTCAATCCAGCTCTTTGCCAAGTGGGTCCGGGTGAGCTAACCTCTGTCGGGAGGAAGAGATGGCCCCTTCGTCATTTTGTAACTTAATCTTGGAAGTGATATACCACTGCCCTAGTTTGATCACGGAAGTTAGTCCATAACTCAAGCCCGCTCTCTGGGGGAGGGTTATACAGTGAGAATACCAGGAGTTGGAGGTCCTTAGGAGTCATCTTCAGGGCCGCCTGCCACACTTGAGGATCCTTGATGTTCCATTTTCAAGCCATTACCTTTATTCTTTCAGGTCCTGTTCAACATGTAGGAGGATTTTTTCATTAGTATAGTGGGGAATGGAGTTACCATGCTTCCAAGGCTTATATTAAACTAGAGGCCCGGTGCACAAAAATTTGTGCACTGGTGGGGGGGGCCCTCCGCCC